TAAACCCATTGGTCTCTTGAACATTGACGGTTATTTTAATAACCTAATCAAATTTCTAGATGACGCAGTGAGGCAGAACTTCATGGCTTCTAGTCAGAGAAAACTTTTCATCTCTTCTTTCTTTATTGATGAGCTTTTAGACAAGCTAGCGTTTGCTAAAGCTTTTCCGGGTCCTGGGGCTAGTTATGACGAGTTTGTAAATCCTGGGGCATTGGACTTAGACTTGCATTTGTAATATTACTTTATGTAATTTCAGTTTAATTTATGTTGGAATAATATTGTCCATGAACATTATGAGTTAACCATAAATATTATTCTAAGCTGCATGGCAAGTGCAAGTCAGAAAAATATCTATTTTCAACATCAGAATGCATCATGTAAATATCAAACATTTTCTCAAAATGGGTCAAATGAAAGATTTCATTATACAATGGTTTCAACACACGTAGGTTCAAGAAAATACGAATATTCTTGAGATTCAAATCGAAAGATAATTTCTTGTTTACATAAGGTTTCTACATTATTCAATATATCCTCGAGCCCTTGTAGCACTTTAGGATCCTCACAAGGTATCATCCTTGGATTGGATTCTTTGAATTGCTTTGTGTTTTAGAACGTTGACTTTTTCCTGAGCGAACAGGTTGATTTTGGATAGAAGTAACTGAATATGATTCAGGGTTAGAGGGATATTCTCGTCGGAAATGTCAAGGTTCACCACAATTTAGACATAATCCTTGTGCAAGCCAGCAATCTCCCGGATGGTGTCTTTTACAAACGTTACACTTTGGATGTTTCCATACCCTCATTTTGTTCACGGATGTTGTCGATTGAATTTTCATTGATTTTCCCTTTTTCGAGTGTATTGCACAATCGATTTCTTGCAGGGGTCTCTTTCCACTTGAATTTGGTTGTTCATTTGGATTCACATTCTTATTCTTCAGAATTTCATAGAAATCACTTAGATATTTTTCGCCTTTGGAGATTAGGTCGTATGCCTCAGTGAAATCCATAGTTTGAATAGTAGATACGTGCGGCCTGAGATCAGGTCGAAGTCTTTTGCGAAACTCCTCAATGCGGTCAGCTGCTGTGCTCACCAGTGTGGGTGCAAATTGAGCGAGGTGAACAAATTTTTGTCGGTATTCAGGCAGTGACATATCTCCTTGCTTCAATTGAATAAATTCAGCACGCTTCTCTTCACGGAATCGGGCTGGGATATATTTCTTCTTGAACGCCCAATCGAAGAATTCCCAAGTCCAAGGTTTGGGTGTGTTTGGATTTTCGTCAGTACGTTTCCACCATTCGTAGGCTTCCTTGCGGAGCAATTGAGATGCAAATTTTGGATGATCAACGAGAGGTATGTTCAAATTTTGTAGTACACGAGCGGTCTGCTCGATCCATTCAAGAGCAATTTGGGGTTTGGCAATTCGATCTCCCAGAAACTACTCAGCACCATTATCTTTCAAGGTTTTGAAAGTGATCAAACGAGGTGGTAGTGGAGGTGGTTGAAACACAGGGGCATTGGTCATTTGTTGCAAGAAGTTTACCATTAAGGTAGGTAGCATAGCGTCAGGTTAACCTCCAATGTTTTGATCGTTTTGGGGAACATGTTGTGAGTTCACTTGTTCAGTTTGAATAGGAGGCGTGAAACTGGATACTTCAGTATGAACAATTCCGTGCCCATCGCTTGGCACTTGGTTACTTTGTTCATGAGCGTTTTCTTGACTCATTCTACAATAACAGAAATTCCTTCGTTAGGATTCTTGACGAGTTGTCAACGGATATTTATTCAGACTATATCGATGTTTAAGTCACTAATCGTGTCATAACAATGTGTCACTTTATTCAACAAGATTGAGCTATCCATAGCTTCTAGCGAGTAGGTTCCTTTGAATTTGACCGAACAAATTGTGAATACATAGTAAAGGGTAGCAATTCTTGATCGTCAGTTTGTCTGTCTTAACAGAGATGTGATACTATCTTTGACCGTAAGTCAATCTTAGAGAGCACAATGGATTCTCTAAGCTGATCAAATAAGTCATAGATACGAGATAAGGATAACGCCAATTTCCTTGTAGGATATTTCAACAAAGTTTTGCAAGGAATTGTTGCTGAACGAACGATTTCAATTCGTATAATATAATCGCATATTTACGTCGTAATGAGTTAGACATCAGAATGGGATACTTTTAGACAACAGAGTTTATTGATTCTAAACGTTCGTGTTTAAATCAGCAATCCGATCATCTTCAGTCCACATGAGGATCTTTGACAGCAGCTTCGCGAATGTTATTCAACATTAGGCGTTTCTTCATAGTCGTCTCACTTCTATGCGACTTTGCGAGATAGATCTGCTTCGTCAATCACGATATGATAAGTACGTTGATAACGTATCACAATTTTTCTTTTTATTCTTTCGTCTCTTCACCGAGTACGAAAAGTCTATATGAGTCTATGCTCGATATAATTTCAGTACTAACAATTGTTATCTAATGAGAATTTTAACAAAGTCAATATTTATCTAATAAATTCTCATACCTTTCCTGGAGCAGAGGGATGCGAGAGTTGTGCATGTGACTGACACATTTTTTTTTAAATTCAAATTTTGATCCGAAGATCGGTTTTAAAACCATTTGCTCTGATACCAAACTGTAACACCCTAATCCGTCCAGGTCTGCAGCCCCATTCGGACTAAAGTATTTAACTTGGTAATCGTAAAAATTTAAAACTTTTCAAACACACTTTATTAATCCCAATAATATTTTTCATAACATATACAGTACGGAGTATTCAACAATATTGCGGAAGCGATTTTAATATTGACATATCATAAATTGTTTCAAAACTTGTCACATCCATCCCG